GGTCACAAGCCTATTATATGGCAGAAAGACCAGAACACTGAGATTCTGTTACTTCTTCATCACACTACTACATTTTAAGAAAACAAAATTCTGGTACATTTCTTAAAATTCAGAGGTGCTGTTTTTTTCCTTCTTCCGTGTATTTATTTCTTCAGAGGACATGCATCCAATTAATATATTACTTTGGCTGATAAGCACTCATCAAGCTCTGCCCATTTACTCATTTATTCTGCATGCTTGATTTTTTTTTCCCCAGAGGTCATTAAAAAAAAATTATGTTTTAAGCATTCTTAAACAGCCTAAGAAAACATTTTACCCTGAAAGTGAATTCAGAATACATGTGTTTATTACTAAAGCAAGGACTATGCTTACCAACCCACCATTGTTAGTGAGAATTTAGAATCTTGGCTGACCTCTTACAGAGGTAAAAATCCACCCTTGGTGGGAACAGCTGCGACTGTGAAAGAAGCTACAAATAACATGCTGGGAATTCAGCAGGCACTGTTATTACATCCTGTTTATACTGTCATTTTTCCTATCAGTAGGATATTATTTATACAGACCCCACCCATGAACTTCTTGTTTATCTTATTATAGAAATCCTCCGAATCTATAAAAAGAAACTTCTGTATTTGTTTCTGGAACATGCACATGTGTTATAATTTTGTACCTCATTACACTTTTTTATTTAGCATTTTCTTTTGTTATGCACCACTTGTTCTCATTTTTATCTCAAGGTTGACTCATTTCACATATTAGAGTTGAACTTAAATCTTTTTAGAACTTGTTGTAAGATTCAGGAGTACCACATCCTAAACCTTAAGGTAGGTCAGGTACATATTTTTTGAAGACGCACTTGACTAATTTGTTTAAAGACAGAAAAATGCATATATACACTGATGAGGTACTGCAGGTAGTGAGCTCTGGGTGACCAGAAGGCTTCCATACTCAGGCTCACTCTAATCTAAGTGGACCAACTGCAAGGGCCAGCCTTTATTTAGTTTGTAACCTCACTATTCTCTAGCTAGATCTCTTCTCTGCAATGAAAAGCCTTGCCCCTGAGTTTAGCTTGATGGCTGGGTAGGCTGGGTTAAAAATATAACACAAAATACACAAAAAAACATAGGAATTCAGTAAGTTGACCAATAGGACAATGAACCAATCTGGTTATCAATCATCCTCATTCCGCAGACCTTATATAAACAACTGAAGTAAATAAAATAAAAATGCAAGTTCCTTAAGGGCAAAAATTCACACAGCATTTGTTGAGCAAGTAAATTATTATTTTTGGAGAGGGCATGCCACTGAACAAAGTCACTGGACTAATTTTCGTATGTATAGCTTGTGTTAGCATCACCAGTTCTCTTTTTTTTTTTTTTTTGAGATGGAGTTTCGCTCTTGTTACCCAGGCTGGAGTGCAATGGCGCGATCTCGGCTCACCACAACCTCCGCCTCCTGGGTTCAGGCAATTCTCCTGCCTCAGCCTCCTGAGTAGATGGGATTACAGGCACGCACCACCATGCCCAGCTAATTTTTTGTATTTTTAGTAGAGACGGGGTTTTACCATGTTGACCAGGATGGTCTCGATCTCTTGACCTCGTGATCCACCCGCCTCGGCCTCCCAAAGTGCTGGGATTACAGGCTTGAGCCACCGCGCCCAGCCACCAGTTCTCTTCTTAACACTACAAGGCAGCTAGGTAAACAAGGAATGTTCAGAATACATGTACAATGCTAGACTCTTTGTAAAGGTCACTCTTGAAGAACACTGCTCTAAAAATGCAAAACTAAAATGTGTACTAAACCTCCAGGTGGAGAACTAAGCGTAATTAATTTCAGAAAAAAAGAGACGTCTGCAAGGACTAAAGTGGTCAAGAAGTTAGAATGAGGGTAACAGCTGAGATAATCTTGATAAACAGAAATTGGTAGGACTGAGATGAGAAGGTGAGAGGTATCCTTGGGACAACCAAAACTCTGGAAGCATCCAACTGAGCAGAATTCTCAAAATAGCAAATAGTGAAATTCAGCTCGGGGCATACTGAATAGAAGATGGCAAAAAAGAGAAGGCTGGAGTCAGATTACAAATTTTTTTTTTTTTTCATTTGAGAGGAAGTTTCACTCTGGTCCCCCAGGCTGGAGTGCAATGGTGCGATCTCCGCTGACTGCAACCTCTGCCTCCTGGGTTCAAGCGATTCTCTTGTCTCAGCCTTCCAAGTAGCTGGGATTACAGGTGCCAGCTACCATGCCCAGCTAATTTTTTATTTTTAGTAGAGATGGGGTTTCACCATGTTGGCCAGGCTGGTCTCGAACTCCTGACCTCAGGTGATCCACCAGCCTTGGCCTCCCAAAGTGCTAGGATTAAGAAATTTCATTTTTTAGACAACAGAGAATCATGAAGGATATCTGATCAAGGGAAGATGAATCCAAACTTCTGGAGTAGAAATGAAGAGGACAAGAACAAGTTGGGGTGAGGCTGAACTGGGGAAAGATGTCTGTAACACTACCAAATTCCATAGTTATGGCAGCAAAAGAAAGGTCCATGTGGTACAGTAGATAATAAATGTGTAAATGTATTTTCAGTTCTTGCTTGCAAAAACAGGAGATGATGCCCAGGTGCCATGGTGCCTCACACCTGTAATCCCAGGAGCTCAAGACTAGCCTGAGCAATATGGTGAAACCTCATTTCTACAAAAAGTAAAAAAGAGGAGAAGCGCGGTGGCTCACACCTGTAATCACAGCACTTTGGGAGGCCTAGGTGGGTGGATTACCTGAGCCCTGGAGTTCGAGACCAACCTGGCCAATATGGTCAAACCCTGTCTACGAAAAACACAAAGATTAGCCAGGAGTGGTGGCAGGTGCCTCAAATCCCAGCTACTTGGGAGGCTGAGGCAGGAGAATCGCTTGCAGGGAGGCAGACATTGCAGTGAGCCCAGATCACACCATTGCACTCCAGCCTGGGTGACTGACTCTGCATAAAAAAAAAAAAAAAAAAAAAAAAAGAAGTAAAAAATAAAAATTAGCCAGGTGTGGTGGTACACCACTGTAGCCCCAGCTACTCAGGAAGTTGATATGGGAAGACTGCTACACCTAGGAGATGGAGGCTGCAGTGAGCCATTATTACACGCCACAGCACTCCAGCCTTGGCAATAGAGCAAGACCCTGTCTCAAAACCAAAAACAAAACAAAAATAAAAACGGGATGGCATCATGACTATTACCGAGTGAGGTAATGTTAATGCCAATCCATTGAAGTTAATGTCAGTAAAGTTTACCAGTCTCCTAGAATAGTATTTCTCAAACTGAAATCACCTGGGCTTCTGGTTAAAATGTAAATTATGTTTCAGCACATTTAGAGCAGTACTCAGTAGTTTTACAATTCTAGCAAGCTCCCAGGTGATGCCAATAATGCTGTTCCATGTACTATATTTTGAGTAGCAAGATGGAAAAACACATCTTTCAGTTTCCCTTTCCAAAAAAGGCAATACTATATATAATGCATCATGTTTAACCCATTATAGTTTACCCAATGCCTTTAGATATGCTCAAGAAACGCTTTTTAAAGGTATTTTACTATGATTTGCATTAATTAAGGTTGGATGGGTTTCAAAGCTATTTTAAAAGACCAAAATGATTCAATATTCAGGGAAATCAGTATACTAAGAAATACTTCTACTTAAAAAGTATCAATGTTGCAATGCTATTGTATAACACTACAATTTTGTCTTTTTTAGTTTTAGTCTGGCAAACTGAAAGATACTATTGCTTCTAGTCATGGAGGCTGAAATGTAAGTACTGAAAGACAACATTTCATCTTTTCAAAGCCCACATCAGTAAGTTTCACCAAAACCTGCTTGACTTGTCCTTACATTGCATTAGGCACCATAACTTGGTCATTGAAGATAAAGGTTACAACATATTTTAAATATCCTATAGAAAAACACCTAAATACTACAACAATTAAACTAACACACTGTCCTTTGGTGTATATATAACACTGCTACACAGAAAGACACTGTTAATTATTTTACCATAAACAAGTTTGTTTATAAAAATATATTACTAGTGTAATATATTAAACACACACACACTATAATATCTTAAAATCAGAAGGTATTGTTGAAGATCAAATCCAAGTATTTCATTGTAGAAGGAAGAAAGCTGAGGCACAGAGGCTGAAAAGCCCAAATTCAAATAGCCAGCTAGTAGAATGTTAATAAAAGGAGGGGAAAATTAATTTTTATATCTATTAATACACAAAGCACAACAATGAAGCAACTACAAAATGTAGTTGAAAGAGTTTCTGGTTCTCCTAACGACTAAGGTCCAGTTAATTTTTTTTAACGGTCTTACAAATCACTGGGATCTAGGAAAGAAAGATCACACATTAACAAAGAAAAGACATCTGCCCCCAAATTTAAGAACTTCATAAAAAATGCAATCTGAATAGAGAATGACACATATACACCACATACTAAGGATGGGGCTTGGGTGGGGGTGGAGAATGGGATGGGATATAAAGAACAAAGAGAAGACAACGGTAACTCTTCTCAGTAATGTTTCAAGGAATGCTTTTACATATGGAAACTGGTTTAAAAAATAACTTTCTTTACCCTCATGAATAATTTTTTAACTGGTATAATCAGGGATTATATTTGGAGGACTACAAAGCTTTTAAAAATATATAGTATAGAAAGCAGTTGGATGTGCATGTGTCATACACTCTGTTACAATTAAAAGCAAACTATAGGAACCTTTTTTAGCCACAAAATAGGGAATTTTGTGCTTATTACAAATGCTATAAAATTTACTAGCACAAGTAAAAAAAAGTCACTAGAGAAGTTCGGTGATATTGGAGACAAAGGGTTTTAAATCACAGGCATATATTATTATGCCTAAGTTGACAGATCTGCAATGCAGTGCAGAAATGCAAGCAATATTCCAACATCTGCACCAGAAGGCAGAGACTAGACATGATTCCAGAATAAAGGGCTCTTCAGCTCTTACCTGTTACCTGTGCAACAACTGCTTGGGAAATCCTCCGATTGGCAAGAAAGGCTTTGATTTCCTCTTTTATCACACTGCTGTCCCTCCTAACAAAAACAGAAGACAAGACCAACAATGTATGTTGAAGGTAGAAATCCTCATCTTTGCTAAAAGAAAGGTGAAGCAGAGAGGTGGGGAGAACACAGAAAGGACACAAAAATAAAAGGTAAACAGACCAAACTTGTGTGAAAATATGAAATTACAATGAACCAAGAAACACCAAATATTCAAGTCCTAAAACATCACACCATCAGACAGACGCTTTAGTGAAGACCACAGTAGATGTAAGTCTCATACCAGAGGATGGTTAATCGCATGCTCTGTATAATTCACATTAGGAACAAGGCTGTCATATGGTATATACAAAGTTTCATTACTGGGGAATGAATATATCTTACACAGACAGAAATCCTAGAAAAATAAAGAGCAACAACAACAAATTCAGTTGTGAGCAGATTGTGGGCTCGCATGTTAACTACACAACTGCATGAATAATGTTCACTTAAAAACCTTTAAAATGATTAAGGAAAAAGAAATCATCATTCTCACAACTGTAAAAATGTTAGCCATCTGAAGAAAGGCTTTGCTCTTTAACTTCTTTTCCTGTATAAACAAAAAATTTAAAGTGGGATGAGTTGAATATAAAGTTTTAGTATTAAAAGTCATTTATTCATTTTGTATCATATATAAGAATACTTAAAACTACACAATATTCAGTGTCCTTGATATTATATTATAGATCTCATTTTTCCTCCACTAAAATGCCTGTAACAAATTTTTAAAGACTCAACAAATTCTCAAAAGACTAGACGTTCACAAGAATGACAATGAATGGCAAGACTTCTGTTTCTCCACCAGAACAAGTATTAATAAACAAAAATTATAGTTAAACCCTTAAAACTGACCAATTTCTCGTTGAATGCTTTATCTTCAAAAGGATTACATAAATCAGGCAGTGGTTTCTGTTCAAGCTCAAAAGTAACACAGAATAGAGGTAACTTCTTATCTAACACAGGGTCAGAAAATTACGGCCTATGGGCTACTTCCGGCCTGCCACCTATTTTTATACAACCTATGAGCTAAGAATCATTTTCAGAGATGGACATTTGCAATCAATTTGATGACAGAAAATGCTAATAATAAACACAAACTAAGCAAAATATCGCTCCCCCTGCAATTTCATTCTATATTTTCAAAAACTGTACCCAGTTATTATTATTCTGCATTGACTTTTGTCAATAGAAATTTGTGGCTGTTTGTTTTCTGTCTTGTGTATGTCTCTACATTATATCCCTTTTTTTTTTTGAGACGGAGTCTCACTCTGTAGCCCACGATGGAGTGCAGTGACACGGTCTTGGCTCACTGCAACCTCTGCTTCCTAGGCGTAAGCAATTCTCCTGCTTCAGCCTCCTGAGTAGCTGGAATTATAGGTATGCACCACTACACCTGGCTAATTTTTGTATTTTTAGTAGAGATGGGGTTTCACCATGTTGGGCAAGCTGGTCTGAACTCCGGACCTCATGTGATCCTCCTGCCTTGGCCTCCCAGAGTTCTGGGATTATAGGCGTGAGCCATCATGCCCAGCCTATGTCTCTACATTATAATTTTGCCTCTTGGCCAAAAAGTCTAAAATTCTGACTATCTGGTCCTTTAGAGAAGAAGTTTGCTGACCCCTGATCTGTGACAAAGGGATCACAAAACCTTAACAACTGTTTTGTGAAACAACCAGAAACTCTTTCGAGGGGTTCACATCTCTCCATAGACTATTTGGAAAAATTAAAGCATCCCATTCAAAAAACAATGAGTTGTGATTTAACTTGGATGAGGTATTTTAGCTCATCCAGACGAATAGGTGTTACATGATCTATTGTAAGGACTCTGCTGTAAATCCATGCTCCCTTTGGGAAATTTTGGAAAATAACAGAGAGGTGATTCCAATCTGTAGCTCCACAGGATACGGCTGATCTATCTGTTGGAAATCCTAATAAAAATTATTCCTAAAGGAAGAAAAATAATCAAATGCCTAATGCAGTATTTAAAATTTCTCATACTAATCTAGATTCTGGTTTTGATTCTTCCCAGAATGCCTGCCTACATCTGAAATATTTCTTTGAAAAATATGCATTCACATTTTATTTTAAAATCGTGTATACGAAAAAGAAAAAGGTACAAATAAATATATTTTAAAGTCAAACAAAATAACTGCTGACTAAAATGCAGGTAATGTAGAACGAAAGCTTTCTAATATGCATCGATAAGCAATGTGCAAGAGGTAACTTCAGCACTACTTCAATTGGCTTATACAAATAAAACAATGAAATCATTTGGTTTCTAATATAAATATAAAATTAACCTGAAATTTTTTAAAGTATTGCTTTTATATATAGAATGATCCTACAGAGAAATGAAACTGAATTTAAAAGGGTATTTCTTCAGGTTAAATTAAAAAATGTACTTTTGTGGGGGAAAATAATTCAATGGGGTTTTCTGACTACTAATTTACATTGAAATTTAAATCAATTTATTTTAAATCAAATTCATCTACAGTAGACACTAAATCATACAGAAGAGATAAGTCAATTATTGCAATAAGAAATATCCAGTTTGTAAATTATTCACAGCCTTGCAGCATGATATATATTACTAAGGACTGTACAAGACAGAAGGAACCCCAAAAATCTGCCAAACAGTAGCAATTCACATTTTTAGATACTTGACAAGTTTCTAAGTACTGATAATGTTTTAAAAAATGGAAATAGCCAGGCATGGTGGCTCACAACACCTTAATCCCAACACTTTGGGAGGCCGAGGCAGGCACATCACTTGAGGTGAGGAGTTTGAGACCAGCCTGGCCAACATGGTGAGACCCCGCCTCTAACAAAAATATTAAAAATCTAGCTGGGTGTGGTGGTGCGCACCTGTAATGTCAGCTACTCAGGAAGCTGAGGTAGGAGAACTGCTTGAACCCTGGAGGCAGAGGTTGCAGTAAACCGAAGTCGTGCCACTGCATTCCAGCCTGGGTGACAGAGCGAGACTCCGCCTCAAAAAAAATAGAAATAAAAAATCTTCACTGCTTTACCACAGAGCTTTCTCAAAAATCAAAACAAAAGACTTAAAATATAAGGGTATGTATGGGCAAATCATTTAACAAAACTGAATACCTACTGTTTCATCTAATAAAATAAAAGCATTGGCCAGGTGCAGTCACTCACTCCTGTAATCCCAGAACTTTGGGAGACCAGCCTGGGCAATATGGGGAAACCCCATCTCTACTAAAAATACAAAAATTAGCCAGGTGTGGTGGCACACGCCTGTAATCCCAGCTACTTGGGAGGCTAAGACAGGAGAATTGCTTGAACCCAGGGGGTGGTGGCTGTAGTGAGCCAAGACTGCACCACTGCAATCCAGCCTGGGGCGCCACAGTGGAACTCCATCTAACAACAACAACAACAAAAAGTATTAACACCCCCTTCACAAGGCTTTTAAATTTTTTCTCCTAGCAATGAAATTAAATATGCATGTCTGTAATACACAGAACCAAAAATTCATTGCAAAACATTTTTTGAAGTTATAAAATGCTACAAAAACACTATTATTTTATAAAAATTCAGAAAAGTTCCCATGAAAAGAAGAAACAACTGATCTGCTATAATCACATAAGACCGAAGTAAACATCTATACCAGGTACTTTAAGGTAGCATTAAGAGTTCTATACACAAGCCGTGATGGGTCATTTAGTTGGTTTCACTAGGTATTTTCAAAATAGTAAATATATTCTACTTTCGTTGTGTCCAGTTCTCTTAAGTATTTTTTAAAGTTCCATGCTAGTAGGTTAGCTTTGTTGTTCAAACTTTGACATCACCCTTCACCTCCACCACCCCCACCCCGCCTTATTCTCTCCTCATTCAGCCTTAAGGACCGCTACTACTATTGTCCTCATTGTAATCTATGAAATCACCACTTTATTGTGTGAAGTGAAACTTCATTTACTCTAAATCTAATTCTCTCATCTTCTCCCACCCCTCATTTCTCTCTTCATTGCAATTTAACATCCTCCTTAAAAAGAATGTATCCTCTCCTTCCTCTCTTCTAAAATCTCATACTCTTCAAGAAGATTTCTGTGCCTCAAGTCTTAATGGGATTAAAGTGAAGCGTAGGCTGATCTTGTCTTTGATTCCATGGCTTACTTCAAATATAAGCTACTTGCTTGATTTGCATCTAACCAGTTTATGTCCATGTCATTTCCTCCTACTGCCTTTTTCAAATTATTGCCATGCTAGATTCATCTGCATGATTTCCACACCAGGATGAAATTCTTCCCTCCTACCCTCCATTGCCATTATTTTTATAACTTGCTAAACTTTCCACTGTTACCTATAGACCATTCTTAGTGTATGGATGAATTAATCAGTGATGCCTCTTTATGGAATCCCCTTTTACTAAGGCACAATTTAACTGTCATCTATTCAAAGACGTTCTCCCTGATCTTAACAGCTTATCTCTTCTTGCAATGGCTAACTTTAACATTTCAATATTACTACTCACATGCTAATATATTACATGCTGTTCTGTATTATAGTTGTTCCTAATCTTATCTCTCCTACTACCCTGTAAAGTCCTTTAGCACAAAGATTGTACCTTATTCATTATGGGGTTTGCACATAATAGAGCTTAATTTGTTCAATGAATGAAAAAATTGTCGTTGGAGATAAAAGCTTGTAAAATGGAAAGCCTGATCTAGATAATTTATAAAACAGCTTTAAATTTTTATTCTCAAATAGATTTAAGCTTACCAAATCAGACAGGAAAAGAATTATTTACAGTAGTTCAAAATGACATTGCTTCTTTTTCTAGAACAAAGAATGCTAAAGACCACCTGTGTTAAAAAATGATATGCTTTAAGATCTTCCATATTTTCACAGTTAATATACACTGCACATTCTTTAGGATCTCTTAAAGGTAATCACCTCTCTCAAAGACTTCCAGAGATGAAGCAACACCAACCAAGACAGACTATTTCATACTTCGAAAAATACAATGATGTACAAATTTCTTTCACGTTTGAATAAAAGCTTTTTCCCATAAATTTTCACCCATGGAGATAAAGTATAACCTTAAATTTTAAAAAATAACTCAAAAAAAAGTTACTATATATGTATCAATGACATAGTAACTGGATATCATGACCATCTTGTCTTATCTACAGAACATGCACATCCTACCTATGCAAGTAAAATACTTGGCCTATAGATAACCAACTCAGAATAAAGTCTCAAAGTTTTAAACAAAATACTAACATATCATAAAATTTAGTACATGGGTGGTTAACAATAACATCTTTAATGTATGGTATTATTAATGAATTCTGATAAACTTCATTTAAATTATTTCATAATATGTATCTAAAACACACATTAGGAGCTATATGTTATTAGCAGATGTGTATATACACACACCCCTACACATATATTTATATATTAATAGATGCATTTTTAAACATTAAAATGTAAAATAGGTCTTTATTTTTGGCTTTAAAGTCCTTCCTAAAGTGTTATATTCAACAATCTGTTAAATTCATATGCTAGTTTACCTTTTTTTTTTTTTACCCTAAATCAAAAATGAAAAAAATCAAAGTTACTTTCTCACTCTTTCTTAATGAGTTGATATGGTATACAATAATAACTTGATGAAGTTCTACAAAAAAATCTCCATTATGGGCTGGGCACAGTGGTTGACACCTGTAATCCCAACACTTTGGGAGGCCGAGGTGGGCAGATTACTGGAGGCCAGGAGCTCAAGACCAGCCTGGTCAACATGGTGAAACTCCATCTCTACTAAAAATGCAAAAATTAGCTGGGGGTGGTGGTGCATGCTGTAATCCCAGCGACACGGGAGGCTGAGACAAGAGAATTGCTTGAACCCAGGAGACGGAGGTTGCAGTGAGCCCAGACTGCAACACTGTACCAGCATGGGTGACAGAGTGAGACTGTCTCAAAAAAAAAAAAAAAAAAAAAAAAAATCTCCATTATGTATCTCGAAATTACTAGTAGTTAAGTTTGTAAAGTCAATAAATTATAAGATTTTAAAAAATGTGTCTTGAGTTTGAGTTGAGGAATGTGAATAAGCAAGAGGTGAAGCACACAGGTAGAAAGGGAGACAGTAAGGCATTCAGGTTCCCAGGCTCCCCCACCCAAGACCACCACTTCCAATGGGCTATAGTATCACCATAGTGTCTAGTGATCAGCAAGGGCAGTACATTCTTAAAAGGGCACAGAATACTCAGAAAGATCCACTGCTTAAAATATTTCTCTAACATTCCACTAAACAAAAATTCACTTGGTTAGTAAGTGATCATTTTGAAGTAGCAAATATCATGGGGGAGGGGAATGCAAAGCCCATTATGGCAATTCATACTATGTCTTATGTTCATTAACCACCTTCCCTAAAATCTTATTAAAATCTACATGAAAAATTTATTTAGAGAGGCAATGTACACCAGTGACATATTGATAATAAAGACATAATTTAGACTCTGCCAGTTAATATTTAAGTTCTCTTGGGAAAAGTATTTAATTTTTGTGAATTTCAGTTTCTCTGATGAACCTCACATTATGGTTGTAATGATTACAAGTGAGAATGTCATCCAATAAACTTTCCCACTGACCCAAGGATTGTTGTCATCTACAACCGGAGAAGCGTGAGAGGGGACACAATGGAGGAAGGCAGGAGTGCAGCAGTGGGTGAGAGTGCAATGGCAGAGGACCAGAGAGATCCAGAAGGGCCACTGAGACCCTGAGATGATCAGGAGAACCCAAAGCAGCAGTTCTAATAAAGAAGCAGAGAAACGGAAGAAGATGAAGTGTCCTGATTATACAACAAGTGGTAGTATATAAACTAAATACTGATAAAGTATAAACCTGTATATATTTTACAGTAAAACTGGCATGTATGTAATTATGGGATTTAATTACAAATCCCAGTCACTGCTAAATAGGTTTATTATTTTGAGCATACAGTTGAATTAAAACAGGCCAACCTATGAGTTAAAAGTCAAGTTTTTAGACCCTTATTATTCTGGACAATCTTCTAGAGGCTTTTACTAATGAGTTTTCCCATACTTCTTGTTAGTCTTATACACATTTAAGAATTAACTATTAGGCCAGGTGCAGTGGCTCACGCCTATAATCCCAGTACTTTGGGAGGCTGAGACAGGAGAATCACCTGAGGTTGGGAGTTTGAGACCAGCCTGACCAACATGAAGAAACCTCATCTCTACTAAAAACACAAAATTCGCCAGGTGTGGTGGTGCATGCCTGTAATCCTAGCTACTCATGAGGCTGAGGCAGGAAAATCACTTGAACCCAGGAGGCAGAAGTTACCATGGGCCAAGATTGTGCCATTGGACTCCAGCCAGGGCAACAAGAATGAAACTCCACCTCAAAAAGAAAAAAAAAAGAGCTGCTATGAAGAAATCTTATCAAAACTGATTAACAGGAACACTACCAAAAAACCAGGTTGGCATCGTTTTTAAATTGATGATATCCTCTCTACTCAGAATAACTAAAAGCTAACCTTGTTATGTTTCAATGAGCGAAGTAACTTTTATTTGCCCAAATAGTTCTCACTCTTAACAATGTTACATTCAAAAGCAACACCTGAACTTTGGTCACCTATTTTAACACATGAAAAGGAATTCAAAGCCAAGTTAATCTCTTATATTTTTAACTTTAAAAAAAATTAGCCAGCATGGTGGCACACACCTGCAGTCCTAGCTACTCGGGAGGGTGAGGCAGGAAAATCACTTCAGCCCGGGAGGCAGAGGTTGCAGTGAGCGGAGATCACGCCACTGCACTTCAGCCTGGGTGACAGAGTGATACTCCGTCTCAAAAAATAAAACAATAATGGCTTGTAACTCTAACTGCTGTAACAAACTATTAATTAGATAAACTATTAACATGACACTGGAATCCACATACAATAGTCAATGTAGTTAAGAATTTCATTTTTAGAATTTCCACCTAAAAATAAATTCAGGACAGTTTATTTGTTTTAAGGATATTTCAGCATTGTGGTACTTCAGGACAGATCTTCCATGGGGCAATATTAAGTCACTATTATTCCATCTTGAAGTTTAAAAATCTTTAGGAAGAATTGTAATGATACTTATAGGTCCTATTTTTATTTCTGACAAATTCCTGCTATAGTTTCTTTCATTATCTACTGTAACTAATTTATCTGTACGCTCTTTTGCTTCTATGGCAGTGGAAATCTAGTGAAAACAATACTTTTATCATCTCTATTCCTAGAGAAGTTTTTACAAAATGCCTCAATTCCAAGAAAAGTAAATAAACTAGTATGGAACTCAAAGTCTCCCAAAACCTGTATTGTCTCACCCATCAGTAATCTTTATCAGCCTAAAGACATGGCTTGCCTTTTCTGCCCTTAACTTCAAATAAAGTTCCGGTATTTTAAAAACAAATGCTATTCTTTAGCATTTAGGTCAAGGTCACCCTTCACTGAACATATTAGGCCCTTACCATGTGCCAAAGAAAGTTCCAGATCCTGGAGGCACAATGAAAAACACATGGTGTTACCCTCAAGCAGTCCCAGGTCCACAGTGAAGCCTTTCCTAATTCCCTCTGTTGAAAGTGGATTTCTTTTCTCAGTGTTCAAAATTCTAAGTGCTTAAACTTATAAAAGACAATATGTGCGTGTGTGAGTGCATATGTGTGTCTGTTGCTGAAATTAAAACCTATGTAATAGGTACCCCGTGTGTGTGTGTGTGTGTGTGTGTGTGTGTGTGTGTGTCATCTATTGCTAAAATTAGAACCCCACATAATAGTTACCCCAAATTATTTTCTTGAATGGAATGCTGGAGAGAAAAGTTAAGAGTGTATATATTCTGTATAAAGATAGAATTATCCCTCAGAAAAAGTGCTTACAACAGATTTAAGGATTAGAATGTGTTTTTCAGAAATTAGCTATTAAGAGTCATAGAGAAGACTGGTGTTTGATAAAGAGAGAATGGAAAAGGTTCATCAAGCAGCAAAGAGAAAGGGCTGAAGTAAAGGAGAGAAAATTTAAATTAAAAACATAAAACTTGAACTTTCTTTCATCTCCAAAGGCAAGAAGAGGAAGTTACAACAGTTCTTACAGCTAAGTGGCTGAAATGCAGCATACTACCTAAAAACGATCTAAGAACACAGACATTTTTAGGGACTCTGAATAAGCAAAGTCACTAACCTCATTAATTCCTCCACTTTATCATCTACATCTAGGTCCTCTTCTGAGGCTTCAAAACTGTATGATCTCTGACCCATGCTGTTTGCATGGTAGCGAGTTGGTGACATCTTTCCATTGGACGTAGATAATCGCTCATTATTCTCCCTCCCATTTTGATTGGTAGTGCAAGGCTGTGGGGAAGTATCATAGCTGTTGCTAGGTGATGGGGACATTCCCGAATGCTGTGTCTGTGTGGAAGCCGTAGCTGTAGAGGAAGATGCTGGGACATTGTTGGTACTATTCCCATATGAACTTCCTCCATAGCTGGACCTTCTTCCAAACTTGTCACTATGCTCTTGATCAAGACGGTCCAAAGTTTCCAAGGCATGGAGAATTTCATGTTTAGTCATTCCAGTACGCCGAAGGCGCTGAAGCAGATCTATCTGCTCTATGGTAAATCTGGGTTCATCTGTATAATGAGACATGGTTTCCAGCAAACTGAAAAAAAAAAAAAAAGATAAAAAGAAGTCTCTTTATTGACAATATCTACTACAGCACATATCATTATAGAGAATGCTCAGCAGAAGCCGCAATATTTTTACATAAACTTCTTCATTGAAAATTAAGATATGTTCCATGCTAGAATGTTTTTGCCTTGGCAAATGGATTGGTATAGGTACTATACGTATTACTAGGTGAACATGGGCATAACATAAAACCTAATTTCATATGGCATACAATTTATATTTTCCTCAGTTTTGGTAAATATCAGAACCAAAATATTAGTTATGTAAATAATACCAAAACAACAGATTAGGTACATAGAGGGCATAAGCCCAGGTTATGTGACAGTTCACAAGTGTTTTGTCTATCTCAAGTATATTATTCCATATTAGAGTATTAATGGAAAATTGCTGAAAAATTTGTTTGTATTACATTATTTACCAAATATTAGCTAAATTGACCTAAGAATTCTCTACAACTTCATTTAGTGAAAACAAATAATTTGCTAAGCAAAGTCAAAGAAAATGCTAATAACCAGCAAAAATATTTAAGTGGAAAAGAGAGGTAGATTTTTTTTAAAAATTTAAGCACCATTTCATCCATTACTTAGCAATTTTTTACGTTTTTCATCTCTGGTAATGCATTCTCTCTTAATAACTACACTGACAAATAGATCTTTCATGGTTGTGGCCAAACAGAGCTACTCATTTTTCTTAGGAAATTGCTTCTACATGTTTAACTAGCACAAGATACTGCAGCACATCAGAAAATGTTTTCTTAGAGTGAATAACAATATTAAGAGAGCAAATACTGTAAAAATTCTCACTACTTGAATTCCTTTTTTTTTTTTGATATGGAGTTTCACTCTTGTCACCCATGCTGGGGTGCAAAGCCATGGTCTTGGCTCACTGCAACCTCAGCCTCCTGGGTTCAAGCCATTCTCCTGCCTTAGCCTCCTGAGTGGGACTACAAGCACCTGCCACCAAGCCCAGCTACTTTTGTATTTAATACACCTCCTCCTCCCAAAGTACTGGGATTACAGGCGATAGCCACTGTGCAAAGCCTTGAATTCCTTTCTCATGAGACCTGACTTTCTCATTCACGATTTTTAAAAGTGGTAACCTCTTTTATTTTGATTTTTATTGTTCTAGTGCCAAATATAATGCATGACATGTAGTAGGCTCTCAATAAATGTTTGCAGATGGAAATAAATGTCAAGGAATTTTTTCATCTTTCTCAAACAAACATCTGCTCTGGGCCAGTGCCCCATAGCTATTGAAGGTCTCACTGTTTCTTCATCCTTCTACACGAAAACTTTATTGAATAGTTACTTCTAGGCAGTTATTACATAAGAGGTTCACATAACATAATCTTATCCAATCTTCACAGCAACCCTCTGTGGTAGATGGTCTTTATTCATTTCATTTTATGTTGATAGACTGATTACTGAGGAAACTAAGGCTCAGAGTAGGTTTTGTACCTTACAAAAAATCTGAATAAAAAGTAGGAAAAAGATTTAAGCCTAGATTTTATTGACTCTAAAAGCACACATCATTCTCTTTTCCAATACGTTGCAGGACTTAACTGGAAACATATGATTTGAGACACAGGTTGTTCTACTCATTTAAGTCTCAGTTAAAGCCATTTAGATAAAACTACTCGAATTACTGATGAGCCTAGGGGCCTGAGCAATAGTTTTCTACATTTAAAATCCTTGCTCAAACTAGAATTTTTATTGACTTAACAAGTATAAAAAATTGCAGCTTTATTTCATCCCAAATGGACAGATAGATATCATATGTCTTTACTGAATATCTGTCTTCTCCTCTGATATGAAATGCTGCCTTTATCATATACACAATTTCCATATCAATCTGCACTACCTTTGGATTGTCTATTCCATTTCACTGATGTTTTATCTTTCAAATCCTTTTAAAAATAAGTAGGCAGAAATCTAGAACTTCAGATGAAATCATCCTAGTTTTAAAAAGAAGCTCATTAAAATAAAACAAAACCAAACACACACATTCTGTGACCCTATACATGTTGCAGGCCATTTGTGCCCATGGGCCACAGTATCTGCCCTACACCTACAAATGTTATGGTCTGATTTCTTCCAATACTCTCTTGTGACGAGATGGCCATCATGTTAAAAAGACCGATTTTCATGATTATTATATTCTTTCTTGATGGCTTAGGTTCCCCCACAATATATTACAATGAAAATATTTAAACAAACATTCTTTTCCCTTGAAAATGAAGTAGACCTGTTTGTTGCTAGCTTCAGTCTTCATGTTATCAAAATATTTCATAAAGTGATCCTACTTTAGATGACTTCAATAACTACTGTTTTATTATATGGACAAAAATCCCCAATCATAGTATTTTCCTATAGTATTCATATCAGAGCAGTTAGTTATCTGTATACAATTATTCAAACCATTCCCTGTATGAAGCAGCACTCTGTATTAGCATAAATAAAAGTAAATTATATGAATTTCACCTATTATTGAAAAGTATCCACCCTAACATTTGAATTAGAAATGTCAAAACTAAAGATTTCACAGCATATGAAACAATCTAGTATTTCATGTCATTTCAGAGTCACTGACTATTAGAACCACTTTTATTCCAAAAGTCATAAAAGGAACAACAACAGGCACTTATTACTTTGTCTGCCTAGAACACCTCATTGTTTCTAAGCACATGTTCTTGGGCTATCACTTATAATACCCACCTTCTGGCCAATAGGGTAGGCGCACAAGAAAGCCAAGTCTTGCTCTCCCCAAAATTTTCTAATCAGATGAGGGAAAAGGTGAACAGTCACCATAACTGTGCTCAGGTGCAGGAAGATATTAGTCTGGTAAATTCCTCACTACAGGGAAGCAGCTAGTTTGTGGAAGGATGAAGCAGACATGCTAAGAAACATAGAGCAGACCAATGGAGAAAGCTGTGCAGTGCTCACATCCCTTATTCCAATAATCCCTAAGCCCCAATACATCCCTGCTCTTCTTGCTGTTTTGTTTCAGCAGAGAATACATTTCCCTTTATGTTTCACCTTGTTCAAATCAGATGCCTGTGCCCTGCACTGAGAGGCCCCTAATGCAAACAAGACCTAAAGCACAAAGATCCACAATTGTTAGAATGATCACTTGTATGATCATTACAGAGCAAAATGATTAAGAGTATAACAAACAGGATCGAAACATGCATGTGACACTGAAGATACAATATTTTACTGAGAAAATGCTAAGAAGCTCTTCTGGATATTGAGAATAATGTTGCAATGTGTATTAATATAAAAAAAAGCATATATGCTGGCGTTTCAAAATTTTATTTCTCATAATTTACCTAGTTTAAGCACATAATCATGAATTTATGGCAGTAAATGACCTACAAAGGTCATCTAAGTCCATGATACCAGCAATTCTTTTATAACAGAAAAAGATAACATGTAAGAACTGAATTAATTTTCTTATGCACAAGGATTGTTCACAGGATAAGGAACATGTTTCACTTTAAATTACTAATCTGAATGCAGACTCAGGCCAACAATAATTGAAAATGATGTGAGAAGAATTTCAACACTGTAATAACAGACAATTTTAATGCATAAAAGAACAATTAAATGCAGGAATTACAGCTCAGTTCATAAACTGATATTCTAAGAAAATATCATACCACTAAGACCATAATAATACTTTTCATAATATATTTTATCCTGATTTGAATATTTACCTAAACCCTTCTTGGATAAGGCATGATCCAGAATATACTTTCATAAGCTAAATTCTACAAACATGTAGAGCAAAGACAGTTAAAGCATTCACAAATGATTAACCTTGAAATCACATGGGTAAAAAGGGCATTACTACCTTACTTGTAAAGCACCAACAGTTGGTAAAATTTTACTGGATAACAGCTTTTTCTTCAGCTCAATTCTGCTGCCTTTATTTTTATTATCTAGAATGACTAGGCAAAATAGGTTAGTTTTGTTTTGCATACATGATATTTACACACTCTCTAGTGTGCATAATTTAACACACTCTAGTGTCAATAACACACTCTATGCATGATAATTTAACACACTCTAGTGTCAATCACAGTATTTTAATCCAGGAGTGAACTCTCCATCATCTCAGGAATGTTACCTCACATCTTATCAAAATCCATATGTGAGTTACTGTCACAACTACTGGACTTCAAAACACATATACACTCAAGAGCTTAACAGACACTTTGGGAGCTTAGACTGCAGCAGGGCTACTCTCTGTCAGCTGCTTCTCCAAAACCAGACAGCTCAGGTGCAACATGCCTCAGAGCTTTTACACCTCACAAGCCAGCACTTTCTAGCACTGAGTAGCCTAACATGTGGTTCAGAATCTCAGCTATGGTGGTCAAGCCAGCTTCTCCCAAGAACTGCTCATATAAAGGTACACTTCCACCTTTAGCCTTCACTTGAACACAGAGGCCTCCTTCATCATAATGGAACAAAGAGACTTTAATAGCTTTGGAACACATTCACAATGTGGTTAATGTTCCTCATCTATTGAGTGTATTCCCCGTGAAGTGCGTCCATGTTACCTTCCCCATCATTAAGTACTGTGAACCCAAGAAAACATTCTTCTTGTATGGCAATAAACACAGTGATTCATGAAATGACACTTTGATCATCTTTTTTCTAACATATGCAACAGAAATCCAAGTACAAACATGTATGTTTATAGACGGAGATATAAATTAGTGTGGAATGAGAGAAGTGGAGGCCATTTAGCCAAAAACCATTCACTTAAGTAACATTTATTGAGTGCCTACTATGTAACAGATCCTGTGCGAGGCACAGAGGACACAACAAGGAACAAATCAGGCAACAACTCATGGCTTCATGATGCTTACATTCATTTCAATAGCCATCAGACACTTACTATTTTCAACAGCCATTAGACATCTTAACACTCTTGAATGTTTAGCCATCTAGCTCAGAAGCTTCTAGGCTTTGAGCAGTTAAAAATAAGTACTTTTATATTCAATTTAAAATTAATGTGAAGATTCAAAGTTGAAAACAGAAATGGTAAAAGAGAAGGCTGATGCATTGAAAATAGCCATTAGCAAATAAATTGTTTAAAAACGTGGGGAGGGAAACTAAGGCACAAAGAGATAAGTGCCTTCTCTAGTATATAGCTATTTAGCGGAAAGTCAGGCTACAGTTTACATCTTCAAGGTCTATTCCAGAAACTTTTCACTATATCACAGAATCTATTGTGGGGGGAGGGTGAGGAACTGTAATGAAAAGCCTAAACAATAAGGAAAATCTCTCTTAATGTCTACTTACTGTATTATAGAACTGTCAACCAAAACGGAAGGAATTTAAGCAAAGTGGAGACTCCATCAAATTTTAGAAAATACTTATGCTAAAGGCATTCTGCATTAGACTCTAAAGATGCACTTAATGAGCTAATAGATACTTTGTCTTCTCTAATATCTGAAATTCCCGGAATACTTTTATTCAAAGCCCTATTTAATACGAACTAGTGGTTATAGCTCATATTCTAGCACAAAAACACTCTAAACACAATACCACTATCTCAATTTGTATTTTCTGCCTGACTCCAAAGAAAGGCTAGCATATTAGCTAATAGGCTTAACTACATTATCATCCCCCCAACAGGTAAAGGAAAATGGTTAAGGTGCTATAAGTCTGCACACAAAAGGCAACAAGAAAGTGTATACTTCCAGTAGTCTGCTTGTCACAAGGAATCCAATACTAGCTCTCTTAAACAGCCAACTACCTTGCATGCTTCTAAGCTTTAAGCAGTTAAAAATCAGTAATTTTATATTCAATTTAAAATTAATTTTAAAATTCAAAGTTGAAAACAGAAATGGTAAGAGAAGGCTAATAGATTTAAAAATTCATTTCTCACCACATGATCATGACACTTATTCACCTTAATGTCAAACGGGTATTCCATTTGATTCATTTTCCAAAAAAAAATCTTTTCAACTCTACGAACATCTGCTGTCAAATCTGGATCATAATCATAATAACTTTATTAAAATGATTGTGAAGATGAAAATCAAGAAGGACTAGATACTTACACCACTGGAAAGGAACTGAGCATACTTTACATGAGGCGGATCAATATCCTTTCCAGAGATGATCTGCGTTATCTACCATTCTGTAGAACAAAGATAGAAAATTGAGAAATATTTATATTAATCAAGTGTTGAATAAGAATTTTAATTATATAACTTATGGATATCAAGAGTTAACACTAGCTAATCATGTTAAATGTTATGTCTTCTGATTTGCATTCTGCTGCTTTATTCACTACACACTTTGACCCTTTTCAATTCAGACATAGATCTTCACAAAAAATATCTACTATTCATTGTTTATAAGCTAAAGATCATGAAGACAACTTATTAGCTGTTTAAAACCACAGTTACAGAGACAACAATTTCCAGTAACTCTAAACTAAGATTATAAATTAGACAAAAGTTAAAAATGTGGATGTCAAAAACTCACATTAAAATACACATTCAGTATTGAATTATGGCAAAAGTGTCTAACAATGACTAATGATACATGCAAAATGTACAAAGTAAAGTTAGAAATCTTTCACATTTGTATATCCTAAATTGTAGCATTCATGAAGTTCCTGTTGTAGATAATTGCCTTGCTGACTTAAAAAACAGGCCGGGTGCAGTGGCTCATGCCTGTAATCCCAGCACAACAAGATGTTATAAATTCTCTCAATTTCTCAGAGCTCTTCTGGCAGAGGAGACAGATGATTTTATTCTAATTGACATATGTTTTAAAGTTGTTTTAAAAATAGATTAAGAACTAAATAAAAAGGGGTTTAAGATCACACCACACTGAGTGCAGTGGCTCACACCTGTGATCCCAGCTACTCAGGAGGTTGAGGCAGGAGGATCGCTTGAGGCCAGGAGTTCAAGACCAGTCTTGGCAACACAGCGAGGCCCTGTCTCAAAAAACAAAACAAAAAAAATCACACCATTAGAATATCTATTATTTAAAAAGAAGCATAAAATAATAAATGTGGCAATGATGTGGAGAAAACATAATCCTTGCTGGATTAAATGCTGGCTAAAATGCAAAATGGTGAAGCCACTATGGAAAACAGTATGGCAGTTCCTCAAAAAACTAAATACAGAATTAGCATATGATCCAGCAATTCCACTCTTGGATATCTATCCAGAATGAGTGGAATCAGACTATGTTCAAAGCAGCATTATCCACAAAAGGCAAAGGACATTGTGAATAACCCCAATGTCCACTGGCAAATAAATGGATAAACAAAATGTTATCTATATACAAACAATAAAATATTGTCCCAGCCTTAAAAAGGAAGGAATTTCTGACACAAAAACATGAATGAACATTGAAAACATTATGCTAAGTGAAACAACCCAATCACAAAAGGCCAAATATTATATGATTTCATTTACATGAGGTACCTACAGTAGTCAAAATCATAGAGACAGAAAGTAGAATGGTGGGTAAAAGGGGCAAGGAATAATGAGAAGTTATTATTTAAGGGTACAGAGTTTCAATTTGGGAGGATGAAAATATTCTGGAAATCAGTGGTGACTGCTATATACTGTGTGTACGTATTTAACGCCAGTGAACAACATACATTAAAATGGAGATTTTATGGTTTTGTGTGTGTGTGTGTGTGTGTGTGTGTGTGCATTTTGTTGTTGTTGCTGATGTTACGGATTCTTGCTCTGTCGCCAGGCCAGAGTGCAGTGGTGAGATGGGATCATTGCAACCTGCGCCTCCAGGGTTCAAGCGATTCTCCTGAGTCAGCCTCTTGAGTAGCTGGGACTACAGGCATGCACTACCATGCCCAGCTAATTTTTGTATTTTTAGTAGAAAAGGGTTTCACCATGTTGGCCAGGATGGTCTCAATCTCTTGACCTCATGATCCCCCCGCCTCAGCCTCCCAAAGTGCTGGGATGACAGGTGTGATCCACTGTGCCTGGCCTGTTATATATATTTCAACACAATAGAAAAAGTAGAACATTATAACAAAAAGTTTATATTAAAAGGCATTAGGGATACAAATTTATGGATGCTGGATCACATTCAAACACCTGGCCATAGAAAACAAGTAACCTATAAAAAAAAAAAAGAGAGAGAAGCCGGGCTTGGTGGCTCACACCTGTAATCCCAGCACTTTGGGAGGCCGAGGCAGGGGGATGACAAGGTCAAGAGATCGAGACCATTCTGGCCAACATGGTGAAAACCTGTCTCTACAAAAAATACAAAACTTAATTGGGCATGGTGGCATGCACCTGTAGTCCCAGCTATTCGGGAGGCTCAGGCAGGAGAATCACTTGAACCTGGGAGGTGGAGGTTACAGTGAGCTGAGATAGCATCACTGCACTCCGGCCTGGCAACAGAGTGAGGCCCCATGTCCAAAAAAAAAGAAAGGAGAAAGAAAATAATTACACAATTATAAAATATACAGTTTATGACCAAGATATAAGAGTTACAAACACAAAGACCAAATAATGTTAGAGGTCATAAAGCAAAAATCATAACAACTTTAATAATTTTGTTTTTAAAAATATTAAGATGAGTTATTTCAGTATACCTTTTAGAATGAACAAATATAGTTGGAGAAAATTTAAAAAACAGAAATTTTATATATTATCAACAACATAATTTTAAAGATAAAAAGATACTCTGTAAACCTTCTAACGAAGAAGTTTTTTTTCCTATGTCCATCACCATAACTGATCACAAACTGGGTAAAATAAAACATTTAATTTCATAGATATATAATCCAAAAAATTTTGGGAAAAATGTACAAAAATAAGTACTTATAAGCTGTAAGATAAACAACCCTTGGATCAAAGAACTCACAAAGAAAATTATAATCTACATAGCATACCCTGTGACAAAAAAAGGGTCATTCTTTGTAACAAAAACCCAGGCCATACGCAGTGGCTCATGCCTGTAATATCAGCACTCTGGGAAGCTGAGGCAGGTGGATCATGAGGTCAGGAGTTCGAGACCAGCCTGGCCAACATGGTGAAACCCCATCTCTACTAAAAATACAAAAATTAGGCCGGGCGCGGTGGCTCAAGCCTGTAATCCCAGTACTTTGGGAGGCCGAGGCGGGTGGATCACGAGGTCAAGAGATCGAGACCATCCTGGTCAACATGGTGAAACCCCGTCTCTACTAAAACTACAAAAAATTAGCTGGGCATGGTGGCACGTGCCTGTAATCCCAGCTACTCAGGAGGCTGAGGCAGGAGAATTGCCTGAACCCAGGAGGTGGAGGTTGCGGTGAGCCGAGATCCTGCCATTGCACTCCAGCCTGGGTAACATGAGTGAAACTCCATCTCAAAAAAAAAAAAAAATACAAAAATTAGCTGGACATGGTGGCATGGACCTGTAATCCCTGCTACTCAGGAGGTGAGCAGGAGAACTGCTTGAACCAGGGAGGTGGAGGCTGTAGTGAGCACTACTGCACTTCAGTTTGGGTGACAAAGCAAGATTCCGTCTGGGGGGGTGGGGGAGAAAACCCAAATGTCTAGAAAACTCAAGTAATGATATTTTTTTTTTATTGAAATTAGCTGTGTGCAGTGGCTCATGTTGGTAATCCCAGTGACTTAGGACACAGAGGCAAAAGGATTGCTTGAGGCCATGAGTTCAAGACTATCCTGGGCAATATAGCAAAACCTCAGTCTATTTAAAAAATTAAAAAAAAAAAAAAACCCTGAAATAAAAGCACTTATTAAAATGAAGTATGATACAATACATTTAAGTTTCTTTAGTTGAGCAGGAAACACCTAGCAAAAGAATGGGAAAGAAATTTCATTCACAGTGGTAACTTTTCCCAATATTTATGAGTAACTATATTGAGAAAGAAGCCCAATAGGTTTTCCTTTTAATTTAAAAATAGGACCTAGGCCGGGCCTGGTGGCTCATGCCTGTAAAACTAGCCCTTTAAGAGGCTGAGGCTGGCAAACCACTTGAGGTCAAGAGTTCAAGACCAGCCTGGCCAATATGGTGAAACCCCGTCTATACTAAAAATATAAAAATTAGCCAGACATGGTGGCACACACCTGTAAATCCCAGCTACTCGGAAGGCTGAGGCAGGCCAATCACTTGAACCCAGGAGGCAGGGGCTACTGTGAGCCGAGGCTGTCCCACTGCACTCCAGCCTGAGTGACAGAACAAAACTCTATCTCAAAAAATAATAATAATAATAAATAAATAGAATAGGACCTAATAGAGCAGAAAGGTTTTGTTTCTCAACTTTCATTTTAGACTCAAGGGGTAGATGTGCAGTTTTGTTACAAGGGGATACTGCATCATGCTGAGGTTTGGGGTACAACTGAACCCATCACCCAGGTAGCGGGCATAGTACCCAACAGTTATTTTTTCAAGCTTTGCCCCCATTTCCTCCTTCCTCCGTCTTGGAGTCTCCACTGTCTATTGCGCTCATCTTTATGCCCATGTGTACCAAATGTTTAGTTCCCACTTATAAGTGAGAACATGCGGTATTTAATTTTCTGTTTCTAGATGAATTCACATAGGATAATGGTGTTCAGCTGTATCCATGTTGCTGCAAAGGACATGATTTCACTCTTTTTTTTATGGGTAGTGTTCCATGGTGTAAATGCATATTGTCTTTATCCATTCCACTGTTGATGGGGAGCTAGGTTGATTGCGTGTCTTTGCTACCGTGTATAGTGCTGTAATGAACACGAGGGTGCATGTGTCTTTTTGGTAGAAAAACATCTGAAATAAAAAAATATTTTATTTATATAATATCCTTTTATTTCCTTTGGAGATACAGACACACACACACACACACTTCTCTCTCTCTCTCTCTGGAATTGCTTGGTTCAGTTTTTCTTTTTTTTTTTTTTGAGATGGATATTCACTCTTGTTGCCCAGGCTGGAGTGCAATGGCGAGATCTCAGCTCACCGCAACCTCTGCGATTCAGGCTTAAGTGATTCTCCTCCCTCAGCCTCCCGAGTAGCTGTGATTACAAGCGCCCACCATTATGCCTGGCGAATTTTGTATTTT